TGCTTAAAACAAGTATTATGATGCTGGATTTTATATTATTTAATGCTTGTATTTGGCTCCCTCGTCATGCCCTGTGTAGGGGACTGTATCAGCAACCGTTGAACTACAAACCCATATACCAGAAGGGGGAAGATTGGAGAAAGAACGTTTAAATAAATGAAGAGTTCCCTCAAAATTTTAAGAATCAATTTCCAACCACAGTTTCAGGAATTAAAGCACTAACAACTCACGCCCTTCTACTCATGGTTCCACAGTCCAGCAAACTGGTTTTGTGACTCAAACTTCACAGCCATTTATGAATTATGTTAAAATTTAAAGCAACAAAGTGAACTCCAATTTTCAAATTCATATCAAAAGTATACTGCAACAAATGGAAAAAGGCCCAGAGAAAGGAGCAATTATACTTCTGATGCTTGGTCAGGTCATGATACAAATTAGAAAAAGTTCACATGAGCAGGGGCTGGGCCAAGAATTTAATTTAGTGGGCGCACGGCTTTAAGTATATTCAATTGTTCTTTATGGGTTTTCATACTTTGATATAATCGCATAATGGCCTCATTATTACTACCATCATGGATACATTTGAAATTATGCTCTTCCATTTGATCTCTAACATCAATATTATAATCTATAATCAAAATTCTTAGTCCAGTATTTGAAAGAAGTTGTGCAACATTCTTCACTGATTGATTTATTTACACCATTTTATTCCATAGGAAACAGAAATTTTATTTTGAAATATGTTTGAGTAATTGTTGCGTATTGAATCCAACAAACAAAAAATTAGACATCATTTTGAAATAAATTTAAAAATTAAACGATTTAAGCTACATAAAAGATGCAACAAAAATTCTTGAAATGTTAATCATCGCACATCAAAAGAACAATTATTATAAGTTGAAAGTAAAACTGGTTAACCCAAATATTGATAAAAAAAAAAAATGAACCACGCATGATATAATAGAAAAAACAAAATAATAAAATTACAAGGTGCTAGAAGGAAATAAACAGAACTTTTTGGAGTTCAGGCAGTTTGACAGGAGAAGAAATGGCTACTTTATGTATTTTATGACTCAAAGTTCAGTGGGGGCAGTGTTCATGAGAATGCAAGAACGTGTCAAAATAAGAAATGTTATTTCCATTGGGGAATGACCTATTTTGATACTTTTGAAGAGAGAGCCAAAATTTCCATTGTAATGTAGCTTTTCATTTAATTCAAACTAATCACCATCCAGGTGCTAGAATTTTATGTTGCATTCAGCAAATTAGCATTATGAGCAAGCCATCTCTGACTCTCCAAAAGGGGCGAATTTTCCAAAGGATCATTGCAAATATGTCGAAGCATCTTCATGACTTCATTTATTATTGATGAGTTTCATATGGACCTTGGAGACAACCAAAAACTTCAAACGTGATGATGGATGGTTCTTTTCCTTTCTAATATTTTAAGAAACCCCCTGTTTGGAACACATTGAAGACCATGTCTGTATCCAAAGCTAGTTGGACGGACAAGATCAAAGACAAATTACATAAAACAAGATGAAGTAAAAGAAAGGAGACTGCATCAAATGTTTGATTTAATAAACACTATATATCGACTGGTGCTTGGGAATCAATTTAACTTTTTCCTTATCATTCTTGAGAAAATTTATTAACGAAAACTAATCCTGCAGTTCGGACACACTAATGGGGAAGATTGCAACATAAATCTTGAATGAGAACAAGATAATACTTGACAGTAAGCTTCAAAGAATTGAAAAAAAATGACAAGTAACTTCCAGAAAAGATCAAAATAGAGAGATCTCTGAGTATTGGATAAGTGAAAATTCCATTCACCTACAAAATTGCTCTTAATATTCATCAATGTCAGCAACAGTGACAACTCCATAGTTAATAATTGCAAAAGATTTAAATTTAGACCACATGCCATCAAGAATTTTTGTGCAAATTTTTTATTTTTACTGTTAGCAGGTATAAAAATGTTAATCTCTACTGTGAAAAATAAGAAAAATTCTTCCAAAATTCAAAAAGCAGCTTGTTTGATTTACGAGAAGATCTTCACAACAAATATATTTTCATTATATTCCCTAGTACATCACATCTAAAATGGATAAATCCTCAATGAAAGTCAATATATTTCATTTGAGTCGATTGAACCACTGAACAATAAATCAATGAATAAAAATGCCCCTCTACTTATCCAATTCATGTTCTTCTAGCATTCACTCTAAGCACCGTCAAATAAAATATGCTGTACCAAGCTGGATTTTGAATATTCTCAAAATAATAATTCTTACTATACATTTCAATTTAGCTTGCTAAATAATAAAATTATAAAAAGACAGAAAAAATTGTGTACCGGTTCTCATCTGACTGGGGAAGTATCGACAGGAACTTTCCGGGCACAGTTAAAGCAGCCCACATGCATAGCACTAACCCTGCAATCAACTCCATCACCACCTGCAATAACTCAAATCCTAGACCCATGAACAAACACAGACAAACACCAAAACCAAATACAAATACAATTATGCATAACAATGAGGACAGGAATTGAGAATTACACTGCAGGGAGGACCAGAGAACTGCTCATCAGTGATCTTCAGCAAGGACCTGTCTGCGAAATTTGAAAATTGAAAAAAAGAAAAAAAAATAGAGAGAGAGAGAGAGAGAGAATTAAATAATTAACTTATAATTAGATCAATCCCAACAACTGTGGCGAATTGATGAGACGAGGTTACACTGGATAGTGGAGTAGGCTGCGTGTGAGAGAATCAGAATTCCGAGAATACCGACGATGAAACCTGCGCCCATGGTTCCTCTGCGTAGAGAAAAATAGTAGATCGGTGGCCGGCGAGGGGGAGCTGTGTTTTAACCAATTAAACTTCTCGTAACAAGGAGATTTGACGAGTAACTAATTATGGTACTACTTATATAAAAAATGTAACCCAATATTTTCTGTTACAGAAAATTTTCCCAAATAAAGTTTGGTATTGGTTTTTGATTAAAAATAAAATAAAATAAAATAAAATAATAATAAATGAATAATTGTGATTGGTTATATTTTGGTAGCATGGCAAAATGTTTCGCGCCCACCCGTCGCTAAGAAATCGGGACGCGGACAGAAAATATGGAAGTCTAGATTCTTACATTTTATTCATTTTGATATTTCAAAATTTAAATTGTATTTTAAAATAAAAATAATAAATAAACGAGAGAAAAAATGATTATATTTTAATCTACATCCCATCTCCCAGAAATCTCTAGCGGGGTGAAGGACAAGAAGGGGCATCTGTCCACTCTATCTTGGGAAATACATGGAAATAGCCTAAAGAAAATAGTCATTTTGGAAAAATGACCTTTGGACAATTTACATGCCCAAAATACCCCTCATTTAAATATTACATAATAAGTCACTATAAGATATAAATTTTCTAATTTAGTCCTTAAAATTAAATATTACTTGAATTTTGATAATTTTTGATTTATATGAATTTTTTAATTTATTTGATTAATGATTTTTGTTCACTCTAAGTAGCCCCTTAATTGTGGTATCAGAGTCATAGAGATCATGAGGAAACCCATAAATAATAGATTATCTGGAAAAATAAAAATCTTTAGATTCAAATTAACACTTAGATTTTATATAAATTTAATAAATAACAGATTAATTATTGTAAAGCTAAAAGAATATTTAGATTATACATCTTTATAATAATTAATATATAAATATTTATATTTATATCTTGATAAAAGCATAGAGATCATGAAAATTAAAATAAGAAAAATAGATAATTATTATAAATTAGAAGAAGGAAGGGGAAGTTATATATTTTTAAAACATGTTCATAATAAACTAAAAATAATGACACTAACAATAATTAAATAATTATCTAGGGAAATAAATGAACAAATATTAGAAAAATTAATAATAGAAACAATAAAAGATATATATACGTATGAAAAAATTATTAATATATTTGAAGATGAAGAAATTAATTTATATTACAAAAAGAAGTGTGAGTATAAGTGATAATACAAATTTAAAATTAAATAAATTACTTATAAAAACGAAAAAAATACAAGAAGAAATAAGAAACATAATGTTAATACCAGAAGGAATAAGAGTATCAAATAAAAGACAATTAATAAAACTAAAATGTGAAAGATTAAGAATTGAGAGTTAATATTTTAGTATAATAAAAGAAGATTTAATAGATGATCCAGATATAGCCAACAGAAGATTTAGAAAAATAATAAATAAAAAAGAAGATAAAAGATGTAAATTAACTTATATGTTAGAAAGATGATTTTAATATGTCAATAAATGAATATATGGAATAATTAAAGTCATTAATAAAAATATTAATAAATGATATATAAGATTTAAAAAATGAAGCAAAAGAAACAAGAAATGATATAAATATATTAAAATTGAAATTAGAGAATTAAAAGAAAATAATAAAAATAAAGAAAAGAAAATAGATAAAAAATTAATAGAAAAAAAATGATTCGAATAGGAAAGAAATATATTGAGAAAAAGAATGTAATAATAGAAACAAGAAGTATGGATGATGAATTTAGAAAAATATATTGCCAAAAATATTAGAAAAAGAAGAATCTAGAGAAAAAATATTAGGAAAATTAAAAATAGAAGAAAAAGAAGATAAAGATGAATGAGAAATTAGACTTACTTATAGAAAATTTTGATCAATTAAGTTTAAGTAATATAAGTGAATACTAAGTTTTAATGAATATTGGATGAGTGCATAATCCAATAGGAACTTCTAAACAATAATTATAAGATCTAGATGAAAGTTATGCACCTACATATAATAAAACATATAGACAATTTTATGATAAAGTAAGAAATAGACAACCACCTAAAGGAAATAAATATAGATGTATGTTTGAATTAAATGATAATTATGATAAACCTATTAAACATGGAGGAATAAAATTAGATCTAAATTGCAAAATATATACTAAAAAAGTCTTATTAACTTGGACAGATTCAATGATATTATTATTTCTATATAATAAAGATGACACATAGGAAAATACTGAAATGAGATTATATTTCTTAATTGCATCCTTTGAAAGATATGTTAGAAATTGGTGGGAAGGAATAAGTAATGATACAAAAACATTAATAAAAAGAAATGTACAAACAAAAATAATAAAATCAGATAGACAAGGTATAGAAAAGCTGGTAGAATATATTGTAGATGAATTTTTAGGAGAAAAATGGCTAAGAAATGCTGAAAGAGAAGAAATAAGAGAAAAAGATAATGCAAGAATTAAACTAATAAATTTAACAATATGTGATATGTGTAAAATCAAAGAATATACTTGTGAATTTAGAAATTATTATTATGTTCAATCTTATAGTAATGAGAACTAAGAAGTATACCAAGATATATATTATAATAAATTACCAGGATCATAGGGAATATATTTTAAAATAGAATTTGAAAAATATGTTAAGAATAATATTGTAATACCTAGGACTCTAGGCTCAAGAATAAAATTTTTATTTGAGAGACTAGCATATATATGTCAACTGAGACAATTAATGAAAAAATCAGGAAAATTAACTAGAATATGTTGTAAAGATATGGAAAATCCTATACAGTGAAGAGGTAATCCTGAAAGAAGTGTTAATAAAAGAAAATACAAAAATTAAAAATTAAAAAAATTTAGAAAATTTAATAAAAAATATATAAAAACTAGAAGAATATATTATAAAAGAAAAAATATCTCATATGGTCAACAGAAAAAATAAAAGTTATGAGAAAAATAAATGTCAATATAAATGTTGGAATTGTGGAGAGATAGGTCATATAAGTCCTGATTGTAATAAAAATAAAGTTAAAATATTATAAAAAGAATATTTTGAAATAAAAGATGAATTAAGTGAAATATCAGATATTGAAAAATATTATAACCAATAAGTTTATATAAGTGAAATAGAAGATGATGAATCAGAGTTTGAATAAGGAAATAGAAAGTAATAATATAATTATACAAGAATATGAAGGAATAGAATGATATGGATTAAAAGTAATGATAACAATAAATTTACAAAAGTGCAAAAAATATCTTTAGATTTAAAAATAAGGAAATATGAAGTCTTAGATAGAATTTCAAAAAGAAATGATAGCAATAAATGGATATCACAAAATAGAAAAAACTATAGATATAAGAACAACGTATTGACAACATAAATTAAATCTTTTAACAAAAAATATGGTTGAGGAACTATTAACAAATGTCAGTAAAAGATAAAGTGAAAAAATTCAATATGTTTATTTAGCAAGAATACAAATAATATTTAAATCATTATTCAGATAAGGGATAGACTCACCCTTAACTATAACCTTACATGATGGAAAAATAATAAATTTAAAAGATAGCCATTTAGGAATAATATGAGGAATATGGCATATCAAAAAATAATGTTTATATGTTACTCAAAATATTATGCATCATTAAAAAATAGAAACTTCAATGAAGTTTTAGGATTGCATTTTAAATTGCATAAAGATTATATCATGCAACTAGGTGATCAAATTATGATTATAGAATATAGAGTTTTATACACATTTACCAATTCTAATTATGGAAACATTTATTCCAATAAACCTTATATTGAAATATATAAAGAATGTAAGGATATTAGCAAAATAATATAACCAAATAAACAAAAAAGTTTAATTCCAGAAGAATATGAATTTAGTATAACAAGAAATAAACCTGAAATAATATAATTAAATGAAAAAGAACGTTCTAATAATATAACATTTAAGGATAAAAATTAATCAAAAGATCAAAAAGTCTTAGAATACCTAATAAAAACCAGTTAGAAGAATTTAATAACATAAAAGAAGTAAAACTATATAAGAATGCTGAAAATATGAAAATAGAAGAAGAATATTATAATGAAAGAAAAAATATAAACAGACCAAATATATTAATAGATACAGGGGTTAGTGAATGTCATATAACTTCAATCAGAAATAAATGATTAATAACTTATAAAACTGATCCATATAGATATGTAAATTTTGATGGACATGTACATATTACAGATTTAGAAGTTAAGGTACCAATAAAAATAGGAGGAATAGATCTTTTAGCACCGTGTTATATAGATAAATGCATGGATATAAATTCCAATATACTTTTAAAAATGAGTTTTTTTAATGGATTAGAAGATTATAGTATAAAAAAAGAAGGATTATATATAGTTCATAATGGACAAACTATATTATATAAAAAGAACTAAATAAATAATCATATAAGTTTTTCATTAGCTGTATATATACAAATCACTCTTATAGAAATAAATATAATCGCTTTAATAGATACATAAAGAGATATAACAATATTTAAAAGTTTTTTAATAAAATTATGGAATAATAATAGCAATATAAAAATAACTGAGGTCACTGGAGAAAGTACCCAGATAATTAATAGTACCAATAAAGTTAGTATAATTTTTAGAAGTAAACAAGTTACAATAAATAAAATTAATAAATACTATAAATTAGAATGTGATATATTATTAGGAAATGACTTTATACAAAAATTTAAATATTATAAGCAAAATAATTATATGATAATGTTATAAACACCTTGTGAACATGTATTAAAAATTCAAAGAGAATTTAGACCTTATAGAGTTCAACCAGTAAGCGTGGTGATAAATGAGAGAAAAAAATCAATAATATTTAGTAAAATAAAATAAAAAAGAATATTGTATAAAAAAAAAGTTTTGAAAATAGGAATAGAAATAAGTATAGAAAAAATTATTGAACAATTAGAAAAAATTTATTCAGAAAATTCATTGTTATTTTGAAAACCACATCACCTTAAAACCAAAATAAAATTGATAGAAAATATATTAATAAGAGTCATATCAATGATGTGTATTATAGAAGACACATAAGAATTCAAAAATCAGATAAAAAAATTGTTAGAATAGAAACTTATTAGACCTAACAATGGACCTCGTAGTAGTCCAGCCTTTATGGTTATAAAACATTCTGAACATGTCAGAGGAAAGGCTAGAACGGTTATAAATTATAAATAATTAAATAAATATACTAAATTTGATGGATATTTTTTACTAAATAAAGAAGTTTTAATAAACCTTGTAAAAGGAAAACAATATTATTCTAAATTTTATTGTAAATCAAGATTTTGGCAAATAAAAATGGAAAAAAATAGTATACAATATACTGAATTTAGTACACATCGAGAAAAATATGAATGGTTAGTAATGTCATTTGAATTAAAAAATTCAACACAAATATATCAGAGAAAAATGGATAATATATTTAAAAAGTTTAATGAATTTCTAATTGTTTATATAGATGATATATTGATATGTTCTAACAATAAAGATGAACATAGGAGTCATTTAATACAATTCATAAACGAATGTAAAAAAGAATGAATTGTACTTTTTAAAAAGAAATCTATAATAGAAAAATAAGAGATAGATTTTCTTGGATTATCAATAAATAAAAGAGGAATAAAATTATAGACTCATATATCAAAAAAGATAGAAAGTTTTTTTTAGATAAATTAGAATCCAAAGAACAAATACAAAATTTTTTAGGATGTTTAAATTACGTAGAAGGTTTTATTAGAAACCTTTCTTAAAAAAAAGCATAAAATACAAATTTTACTTAAAAAAATAAATACTAAAAGATGGAATGAAGAACATACAGAAATAGTTAAGGCATTAAAAGAATAATGTAAAAATTTATCAAAATTTGGATTACCAGATGAAAAAGATAATTTGATTGTTAATACTGATGTCTCGGATAAATATTGGACAGCAATATTAAAAACAGATTTAAATAAAATTTGTAGATATTCAAGTGAAATTTTTAATCAAGCATGAATAAATTATCCACTCATGAGAAATAATTATTAGCAATTATTAGAGGAATAAAAAAAATTTCATTATTTTTGTTATCCAGGAAATTTATTATCGAAATTGATAATTCTCAAGTTGCAGGATTAGTCAGAAATAAATTATCATCGGAACCTCAATACAAAAGGCTCCATAGATGACAAACTTATTTAGCATTTTATAATTTTGATATAATTCATATTAAAGGAGTTAATAATTTTCTTACAGATTTTATTAGCAGAAATATAGAATTTGCTGATGGATAAAGCTAAGATCATGAATTTATACCAATCTATCCTACATATCCAAAAAAGGACAGATTTTTTTAAAGAAGAATCTGAAGACATAAATACTGGAGCAACACAGATCTCAGAGATGCTCAACTCCAATATAAAAATATTGTTGAATATTACTACTGAGCATCATAAAGAGCTATAGAACTCAAAAATCAAGTAGATGCTATTGCAGCACAATTAAAAGATATATTGTCTGAGAGACAGATATACCAAAGAGTTCGAAAATGAGTTTTCCTAATCAATACCAAACAGGGACAGCTGGAAGCAGCAGTGGACCCAGACATGATAATATACTAACTGATAAAAAAGCATATTCCATTTCAGTATCATCAACCAAAAAAGTAATAATACATGGAGATAAAAGAGATTCCAAAACAATCAGTATCATAGACCGGGAAGATAAAGTCCCTTTAGATCCAAAAGAAGAAAATATGCTGAAATAGTCAAAATTGCTTATAAGATAAAAATGAGTGATTCATATTTTATCTCTCCGAAAAATAATGTTTATCCCAAAATAACAGCTATGGACGGAGGAGACCCTTCATTTATAAAAATTATGGCAGACTATGGATTATAGATTTGATATATCCAGGAAAATATTTGATAGAAATTTCGAAATTTGATGATATATTCATAACAGAAGTATCCAGATTTACTAAGGGACGAAGAATATATTTTAAATTTTACTCAATAAGTCTTGAATATGATGAAATTGTTTACTATCGAGTTGAACGCATAATCTCAATTGGATATGTTGCAGCCAATTTCCAAATAGATATGATGGAAAATGATGGAAAAATTCCAATAGTAACAAAATCATGGATCAGGCATAGAAGAGCACTTGGAAATAAAGCCATATACAACATTGCCAAAAATTTGTTTGACAAAAAATTCTCATGCTTGTGCCAATATGAAAACTAGATGCTGGTATCAAATCAAGGACATGGAAAATAAAAAATACTAAAGGATTATATTACAAGGTTTGAAATACATCAATTTTCAGGATGTCCCACCACTATAAAAGAATCTTGCCAGCTAAAGGAGTGTCTCAATTGCATGTGAAAGAAGAAGATAATAATAGAGCACCTTTGACAAAGCTATACGGGGGACAATAATACAACTGCATGTAAAGATATAGAAGATAAAAAAAATGTTCCTTGGATAAAAAGTTGAAGAAAAATGTGAAGATGTAGGCCCAAGGAGAAAAATAATATAAAGGCAAGTGTGCATTTACTGATGTATTCAATGATGTAATATGATCTCATATACTTGTCTAAATAGAGGCATTGTAATAGATAGAAATCATCTTGAAATCTAAAATTGTAACCAATATCCACTCCTAAGCCATCTTTAGTTTGAAAAACTAGTTTTTTCTGGAAATCCTTGCATACCAAATAGAAATATTGTAAAAGTTTTGATAGAAATAAAATTTCAATATTTTGATATCAATATGAGTTTCTAAATCTTTATTTTCATTGATTTTTGAAAGATCTAATAGAAAGTTTTCTTCTTATTTTAGTAAAAAGAGAGTTTTTCTTTAACAGAAGTCTAGAATTTTATTCTTCAAAATTGATACAGTGAAGGCAAGAAGTTAAAATAGTAAAGATTTCGTGAAGGCAGGAGGCCGTGAAAGGAAGCAATTTACATATTCAAAGCTCAAAGGTCACTCGGTTCTAAAAATAAATATCCAGATCAAAACTAAGGTACAACTATTAAATTATTGCTGAAATTAGAACGAGTCTTTTTAGAACTTCAAGAATCAAATGGGTTAATTGCAGGATTTGATGATTATAAATGCCAGGACATACAATTAAATGATTAGATAATTTATTAGAAAAAAATGTTAGAAGTCATAGAAAATATGTATTCTCAATTAAAAAATATGGATGCATCTTCTGAAGAATATAATATATTAAATAATAAATGTAAACAATATATTACAGATTATTTCAATTTATTAGATCATAGAATGAAATTATATTCAAATATTCAAAACAGAGAAAATAGAAGATAAAATATTTAAAAGATTAAGATATATGTTGCAATATAGAAAAGATAATTTCATTAAGGCCAATATAGACTTTTCCATGAAAAGAAATAGCGAGAAGCCAAATAGAAAAATCTCCCCTCCATCTTAGACCTTGACATATTTGAAACAATCTTTAGTATTTATAGTCATCATTTTTGTACGACAAATTAATAAAAGTGAATTTATAAATACTATTTACTTATTCATTGTTTATTTTTATTAATTTATAAACTAAATCGTGTATAATTTCTTCTCAAATGGTTAATTGTCACGCACTCACAACGTGTTTCCAAAATGCTCCTCAACAAGACCAAAATAAACAGTGTACATCCCTAAAGGTCACAACTGAAAATTAAAGGAATTTTGAAGGGGAAAAGCAAATAGTTCATAGTTGTGGGCCTTTGGATGTAATTTATGTAGGAAGTCAGAGGAAAAAGATAAAAATTTATTTATACACAGGAGCTATCCAGCGGAAACGAACCTTCTTTTGAGAGGGACGCAGTGGCGGATCCAGCAAGTGGCGAGCTCCCGCGACGGCCGCGCTAGATCGAGCTTTTTTTTTTTTTTTTTTTTTGTAGCAATAGATTACAGTTTTATATTATATTACTGGTAAGTCATCCTATCGTTAAATATATCCTGTAGCACACTTGGCTATAGTTGAAAAGGTGTATAGCCCAAGTCCTAGGTTCAAATTCCCTTTTTGACAAATTTATTGTGTAATATTTTAATACTACTTCTTTTGCCAAAATTCAATAGGTAGGGGGACCAATTCGAACTCATGACCTATTGATAGAGCTATTGTTAACTTGACCATGATGAACCCGTGCTATTCCTTCAATTGTAAAAGATTGTAATTGTAAAAGGTTTGGACCCGTGCTCTTCCTTCAAATTATTTAAAACTTGGTCAAAATGTCATTCGGTGAGTACAACTAAATTTATAATAATATTATATATGTTTAATTTGAACAAAATAATTATTATATTTAAATTTTAGGCCTTGTTTGATTCTCGTTCTTTTCAAAATATATTTTTTCTTTTATTTTCATCCACAAATTTTTTAATAAAATAATATTACACACAAATTTAAAACTTTTTTATTTTTATTTTTAACAATAGATTTTCCATCAAATCAATATTTCAAAATGTATTTTTTGCAAAAAAAATTGACATCAAACAGGTTCTTAATATTTCGTTGCTGTCGACAATTGACGGCTGCCCGTGCTGGCACAGTATCGATACTGAATTCGCCCCTGGAGGGAGGACAAGTCCTTAATTTCCCATTACTACCTTTTGTTGAGGAAGAGAAACAACACTGGTGCTACCAATTAATATTCATGAAAAATGAGTCAAATTCTGAATTTTCTCCAAGGACATCTGTTTCACAATTTCGGTGCTCAAAATTCTGGGCTTTCCCCGACGCTGCTACCCCTTAAATCATGTTTTCCAAACCGAAAACGTGTTCGGATTTTTTTACTGCAAGGTTGGTTTTTACCGTTTTTAACATCCCATTCTTGAATATTTCCATTTCTGTAACCAAATTTGAAAGTACTCGTCATGTGAAATTCTTGTTGATTGTTTGTACAGTTAACAGTAAGCTGGTTAATCACATTGAGCAGTCACTTCCAGATAATAAGGTAAATACGTTCTTTCTGGTTCAGATTTTGTTTTTCACTTCCTTAATTTTAATGCATTCATTTTTCTATGGGTTGAGAATTGAATTCTTGTTATAAATACTCATTGGGTAAAAGAATGAACTGGTTTGAACCAAACTAAGAAAAGGATTGAACTGGAAATAATTTGGGAAATAATGCTTGGCATTCTATCGAGTAAAATTTACATCAATTATCAGGCTAATAGGAAAATCAATGGAAATGAATATTGATAGACCTCTTCAAGGAGGACAAACAATTAGTAAATATATGTTATGATTTTTTCCCCCTTAGCTTCTTGTCACTCGATAAAGAAAATAGAAGGGACCTTTTGTACTTGAAAATTTTTCAGTATTCTGAAGACTACTTTTTCTATGATATAATTGAAAGTTGATGCTGGTTATGCATGATTATTATATTGGCTATTCTGTTAATTCTAATTTGACCCAAAGTGGATCACTTTTAGGCTGAGGCTTGTGATAGAGATGAATTGTATTCCTTTCCTCATGTACAAACTCTTTCAAAGTTCCCAAAGGAGGAACTTTTCAGAAAAGTTGTCATGGTCAGATTTGATTCGAGCATTCTGCTTCTGGGAAAGAAGGAATATCAGTCTCCACCAGCCAGTGCACTATCCACCATTAAGTACTTGCACAAAGCTGGTGCTAAAGTAATTCTAGTTGGTAGTTGGAGCTGGGATAACAATTTAAGGCTTTCTTCAGCAGAATCTGCTGCTGGTGATATTCTTGCTTCTGATTTATGAAGCTGCTTTTCACATTTTATTTTTTGGAATTAAATCTTGATTTCTCTTTCTGATGCTCTAAGTCCCGTGCTTCAGAATTTCTATCATCAATGCTCAAACTCAAAGTAGTTCCGATGAAATTAGTTTCACGAAGCACGCATTCTCAGATGGAATATGGAGAGAATTCTGATGTCCTTCTGCTAGAGAATCTCTCTGAGATTAAAATGGAACTAGCCAATTGTTCAAAGTTTGCCAAAGAACTTGCATCTGGTGTTGATATATTTGTTAATGATGCATTTTCTCAATCTCATAAAGTTCTTGCTTCAACGGTCGGTGTTGCTTGCTTCTGCTCTGCCTGCATTGCTGGATTTTACTTTGAGGAAGGCTTGTATCAACTAAAAAAGATCACCAGGACCACCAACAGACCTTATGTTGCTATAGTATCCATCTAGTCCCTACGCTCTAGAAATTATGCTTTGAATTATCGGGGGATATTTGTTTTGCTGATCTCTCACAATAAAACTTCAATTTCCTATGCAGATAGGCGGACGTAACCTAGCTGGCAAAGCAGCTGCCTTGCGATTTTTAGCATCTAAATGTGATGCTTTAGTCTTTGTAGGCAGTATGGCCTTTCAAATAATGCATGCCATGGGAGTACCGGTTCCTGTTAAATTGGTGGAACTTGGAGCACTCAAAGAAGCTGTCAGTATAGTAGAGTCTGCAAATTCTAGGAATGTACCTATTGTGTTACCAAAAGATTTTTGGTGTATGAACGATGTTTTTCCTGAGCAACTGGAGATATTTTCCATAGATTCTATGCTTGATGGTAAAGTCACAATTTATAAACCCTGAGCCTGCAATAGTCTTTCAGTTTAAGATTTTTCGAGTTTTAGAATGCTCATCATGATGGATTATGAAAGCATTGTGTACCCTAATGCTTGATAAATTTCAAAATTTTGGCAATCACCATTTTGGATAATGAAGTGTTTAATATTTGTTTATTCTCCAATTCCATTCCTTTCAGGTTGGCGACCTGTTGATCTCGGACCATTGTCCTTACAAAAAATCATCCCTTTGCTTTCAAAATGCAAGGTGCTTATCTAGTTCTTAAAATATCATCACTTCTTGAATATAGAATATGATGTGTCTGGCAAATCGAAGAGTGATTAATAGCACCAGATTTGCTAAGTAATAAAGTTGAAAATAGAAATTAATTAGCTACATGGAAGAAAAAAAATGCAAGATAAAATTGTGAACTGATAGGTATGACATTTACACGTGATTAAGTAGTGCCATGGGCTAGCTGTCCTATTGCCTTTCTGAGGTGCTTTTAGTACTCAAAAAGAAAGGCTGGTCTTCGCATGAGCAAGGAGGAACTAGAACACTACACATCGCCAGAATTTTTATTCCTTTTGTTGTTTTTAATATTCCCTGCACAATTATTAACCTTTCCTTCCTTTTGAATATAGAGGTGCTGTATTTTTACATATACGTATAAAGGGATAATTAAGTACTTATCTATCCTAATATGGATTTTCAGTGGATGAGCTCTAGTTGAGTACTCACCTGCGTGTTGTTTTTCATTTGGAATGAAAAGTGGAATGAAATTGCATACTTTTTCCTGCTTATGCTGTGTTCTGCTGACTTCATTACTATATCTATTCGTTTTTACTATTTTTTTTCTTTTTGATTTTCCAGAAAATATTGTGCATCGGTCCCTTGAAATTCAGCTCCTCAAGACAGGAAGAAGTTGGAGTATCTAAATTGGCAGAGGTGCTTAATAGTCTAACTCAAAGCACTTGCGACGTAACTTTTGTTGGGAAAATGGAATTTGGGGGATTATTGAGAAAATCAACCTCTGTTTCAGTGGATAATTTCGTCAAAAATACTTCAGTTGTGTGGGAATTTCTCAAAGGAAAAAGGCTTCCCGGGCTTATGGCATTGGATAGAGTATGCCTTCTAAATTCCAGCTTTTAAAGTCTTCTATTAATGAATTACAACCATTCTCAAATAATGGAGACTGGGTATTTACTCATTTGTTGCTAATAAATTAAGGATCCGTTTGATTGCAAAGATGGAATTTGGGTGGAAAGAAAACGAATTTCAAAGAACTGAATTGCTTAAAAATTGTTTTTCTGAGAATTGTAAATTATTGTGTTTGATTGGTTTAATTTTCCACGTGAAAATGTTGAAATAAAAGTGTTTTTTGTGTTCGTTTGACTTTATTTTACATGAAAATTGTTAATTAAAGGGATATAGTTTACTAGTATTGGGGATGAAATTTGTTTCCATTGCCCAAAAAAAAAAAAAAAAAAAAAAAAATAATAAAAACCCTTTTTTTTTTTGGGGTTT